GGGGAAGAGGAGAGAGGAAGAGGGAGCACAGCTGCAGCTGAACCCATATCCTTATAAGCAAAGGGGTCAAAGGGAGCTCTGATTTTCTATGATCAAAGAACCAAAACCAAATGCCAAAATATATAGGTATTTATTTTATTAAAAGTAAAATGTATATTTTAGAGGGCAAGAGAGGGCGATTTCATCTTAATCAGAGAAAAATGCAGATTTGGGGGTTTTAATCAGAGAATCTGATTAACCCCTGATCTTTGCCACCAGAAGTCCCTCCCTTTGGCACAGAAGTACACCTTTGGAGGTCGGGGGAGGGTTGCAGTCTTAGAACCAGAAGTTCCACCCTGACATATGGTCCATGATAAGGCAGCCCACCCACCCGACACCAAACCCTTGCCTCTTTTGTAAAACAAATTAATTCATTTTGGAATGCAGAATAGCTTAGAAAAAGAAATGGCCAGACTCTTTGCCCAAATAAATGAATATTAGAAATAGAAAAGCCAGGTGGTATAGACCAGTCAAGTAATCAAAATACACTGCAAATAAGTGAACAATAAATAATACCCCATCTGTTAAACCATAGATGTAATGGCTTTTAAAAAAAAACAAACAAACTGTTGCTTATCTGATGTCAGCTGTACATTATATGGAGCAAATCCATTATTTTTATGCAACTTATTAAATGTTTATTTCCACAAAAAATAAGACTATAAACTGTATTCCTTCCCAAGGGGGAAAAAGGATGATATTAAATGTTACCACCTATAGCCATGGTTCAGCAAACAGATAGTGATATAAGTGTAGCGAAAATAGATACTTTTCTCTATGTTTCTTTGTTCCTTGTTTTAGTATTAACCCCTGCATTCTGTAACTTTCCACCCACATGGTACAGGATGGCCCACTACGCATGTCTTATAGGTTGCTCAGGTTTTGGTTTGAAATGACCAACCAAAATGTAACATGTCAACTGAAAAAAATGCTAGCTCAATAAAAGCCACGTGCGCTCTTTGTTTAGGGTCGACACTGATCTGAGCAACAAGCTCCTCTGTCGGCCTGCTTGCAAGCAATAAAATAGAGTTGGATCCAGCCTGAAAGTGTGACTCTCTTCTAGAGGTGAATTGGACTAGCCTCCAGGGGATAAAATCAGCAATTTATGCAACAATTCTGGCGACCCAGATGGGACTTCCCTTGGACTACCCCGGGGTCTGACGACAAGACC